CTAAAGTAAGAGGGTACAAAAAAAAGTGCACAGGGTACATTCAAGTACTCAATGAGTACAATCCAAACCAACAAAAAAAAGTTAGATTTTTCAAATTTCGATGCCAACTTCACTTAGCTAAAATTCATTCGTCCTCTTGTCCTCCAATTTTTGCATTTACATCATACAGTATACAGACTATTTTAATTAATCGTCGGGTCAAGTGGAAAAATCAAATATTCCCGGAGATATTAATTGCGACTGGAAAACGGTATAAAAAATTCTCATTTTGACATTTAACGAAAGATAATTATCGGAGGAGTTCAATATATAATCGATTAATACACGCTCAAGACTTAATTACCGACATGTCGGACAATCTGACCATTCGTTTGGTTCAACTACTGGATTTTTAAATCACTTTGTGCGCGCGCAATTATTGTGACCGTAAAAATGAGTCTCAAATTATTCTCAGTGAAAGAAAACTAAAATCACGGGATGATTTACAACTACATATTACTCCATTGAGGAAAAATAGTAAAGCACGTAATAGACCTGAAGTACTGAGAGTCCTTCCGTATCTAGTTAGACTCCAAAGAATACCATTATAACCTTGGAGTTAGGGTCGATGTAATGCACTGGATCAGAAAAAGTTCGTTTCGGTTCGTTAACTCGTTGGAAAATTCAATCCTTCCTTTTGCCCTCGCCCTGAAACTGTCTCCAGGATCAAAGTATATATCACTCTATATATCTGACATGAAAAGCAAGAGACGAAGGAAGGAAAGTCGCTGGATGAAAATGGAGGGATGAAATTTGTAAAAAAAAAAAAGAAAGGGAAAGAGAGGAGCGGGTAAAACATTGATAAAGGAAAGGGTTTGGGATAGGGAATGAAAGTTGGCATTGGCTCCAGATTTTAGTTGTCCAACCAACGAGCGAGTTGGTGAATTGGCACGCGAGCACTGGAACTACTGGAGAGTGGAATAAGGACAGGGGCTGGAAAAAAAAAATAAAGAAAAATCTAGGGGAGTTTTCCGAGGGTGCATCTATCCTAAGGAGGTCGAGCAGCACGTTTTCCGGTTTCCGGTCTCTAAGAAACGGACATTGATCGGATCTCGGCTATTGGAGAATAGTATATATCCCCGAGCTATACCTGGATATATCATAGGATTGCCTGACCTTTTGCTCATTCTGACCGACGAAAGCTTTATCTTGTCCCTCGATATGTAATTCAGACGCTTGCGGCTCTATAATCCTATCCGATTTTTTTGTTTATTTAACGTAGCGTGCACCAACATTTATTGATTTATCTTCACGGAGTTATCATCGTCACGGAAATTCACTTCCTGCATTTTATTTATTTACTAATTCAGGGATTTATGGATTAGCCGCGAGTGAATTACGATTTGATATTCAATCGATGCTGGCTTTATCCTGCATTTTAATAATTAAATTGAGGAAATTCAAATCACTGATTTGAATTCTCGAAATTGGAGGTGTTGGTTGTGATTCATTCATCAAATTATTGATTGGGAGTTAATGAGTTAAATAATGCGGAATTGAGGAATTATGGAATATTGCGAATAATTATTGTGAGGAATATCTGCTGTTTTTTTTTTTAAGTATGTGGAGGTATTCTTTACTATTTCTCTTTAATCTCGCAGTTTTTAAAATCACTCCCTTACGTTTGTAGAAGGATAACCATTCCTCATCCCGGTTACTCATAAAATCCGTTATGAATGCGACAGCTTAAGAACGCCGTTGAATAACTTTGTCGAAATTTGTATGTACGCGAGAAAATATATATGAAAATGTTCCATTGTGAATTCACAAAAATATTCTGTAAATCCTCGATCCATTCAGGTCATCCGATTAAATTATTCCCCCAAAAACCGATTATCGGCTTTCAAATTCATTTATTTAAATATCATAATAGTTTTAATAAAAAATTTTATTCTTCTATCAATAAATAAAATATTAATGAAAATTTATTTATTTTTTTTTCATGTCTTCATCAATGGATTCATCATCACGTGCTGACGACATCGGATTGACTAAATTCCTGTCGACAATTACACTCGATGCGGTAATGTACAATTAATTGATTCCCTCAATTTGGTAAATGCAAATGGATTTTGGAAAAAAAAAATCAAAATCCCCATCACTCATTGGAAACCATTTTATCGCTCATTGAATCACTCGTTCATTTCCACTTCCATTTAACACTGACCCCTAATTTTCTTCACCACTGGACCAATGAAATTAAATGCCTCTCGTGTAACTTCAACACTCGTTAATGTAACATATGTATCACCTCGTGAATGGAATAATTATATTTTCGGTGGGTGCAATCCATCGGGATATTTCACAATTGAATTGACACGTGGAAATCGATGCACTGAACATTCACCAAATGACATTTCAAAATCATTACATCTCCCTTTTAATCCACTCGTTTATTTCTCATTGCATCCAATTAAATTATTTCTATTATTCCTCTCTAATTTCGTCTCAATAAATTCACTTGTCGCGTCACAATTTGCCTTGTCATTTTTCCCGTCATTTTTTCCGTTATTTTTTCCGTCATTTTCTCGTCATTTTTCCCGTCATTTTCTCGTCATTTTTTCCGTCATTTTATTTTTTATTTATCTCTCGGTTTTTCACGCGCTCGTCTGGGAAAATTTATGTTATCACTCGACTTTAACGCGGAATGTTGCAAATTTTGCCATTTTTTTTTTTCTTAAAATGTGTAGCTACTTTGTTAGGTACACTAAAGACCTATCAGCGAGCTGCTTGCGATGAAGAAACGATGTCATTGCGATGTCCCCCGGGCACTTCCATCTCAGTCGTTCATGCAAGATATGGGAGAATTGCTGAAGCAGCCGCTGGTAAATGTAACAATCCGGAATTACCCGCCTCGGTTGCACCGACTAACGAGACGTGTTTACTCTCTCATGCCCTACAGGTATTTATTAATAACAATATCAGCATGTAAATTTTTTATTGCCCAGTCATTTCAGCACGCGCCTACAGCATGACAATTGTATAAAAATTTATTTTTACACCGTTAAATATTTTCCTCCCCCAGAATTTTCTGAAATTCCAAATTTTATTTTCAACTCAAGAAACGAGAGAAAAATTTTTTAAACGAATTCATGCATTAAAAAAAATTCAATTCCGAATTTATTTCATCAGAGTTATAATGGGGAAGAGTTTAGAATGAAGGGATAGGTGATAAAATTTTGCAGGTGTAGTACACTCAAATGAAACTGCCGCCTTGAAATTCGAATTTTGATGCTGTAATGTGTACCTTCCATTTGAAAATAAACGGGTATATCTCTCGCGAATAACTCACCATAAAACAACTGGTGTGTACCAAAATCTACCACTAATGGCGCCAATTTTCGTAAAATCTAGCTGAGATATCTCGAGGCATTCGGGAGCGATCGTTGACCCGAAAAGAATCTCGTTAGTTCGACTAGATAGTGGTGTAAGCCATACAGAATTACGTGGGGATTTTAACAATTCTAGATGACGAATAAAAAAGGGAATATATCAGCCCTTAGAGGAATTCTTTATTGAATATGAAATGAATTGAAATTTTTTCCACTCAAATAAAAGAAATACCGGCAAAGAGAATGTATGATGAATTCACAAGTTCAATCATGATTTTTCGTATTCATGTCCATTCTCTATTCACTATTTTTATTTTTTTTATTTTCTATTCTCTTCAAGTTCATCTCATCTGTCGGATGCATGAGGCACTCGTTAAATTTTGAATATACTCATGTCTTTTCGAATATTTCACTGGGAAAAATTATTTCTCTTAATTTTCTATGAGATTCCCCACGTTTTTGTCCTAGTAGAATTTTTATGCCATTTGTTATTGCAAAAGATTTTTTCGGGTGAATTAAATGGAATTGCAAATTGATGTTTCACGGCTTCCTGAATTCAATTGAGTTGCCAATTGTTATTTTATTCTCATCTCGCCTGTTATTTTTCTTTATACAGCAATGTTGATAATTGCTTCACCCGAATATTTAATTGGCCAATATTTTCTTTAATAACAATTGAATGGAACGATGGAGGGACTGAAGATAGAAGCCCATATTATTTCATAAATTTTTCCTCCGACGTACCTCTCAAACATTTTCCATTTTAATATTTCAAAATAAGTGGAAATGTCGTAGCAATTTGGCGTAAGTTTCTTGCATTCCTCCATTAAAAATAAAAAAAAGTCGTTTGCTCTCAGGGAAAAGGAAAATATTAAACGGTAATATTATTCATGTTAACATTAATATTAAAAAAAAACATAATGTCTAGGATGAAAGGCAATTGTAGAACTAGAATAGATGGAGTAATTTTATTTAATTAATCCATGCATTGCGATTTTAAATGGAATTTAATGGGACGTCGGACGATTTCTCTCTGGGTTTTACATATTTCTTGAAAACGAGGTTGTCATCGTTTCTTCGGGGAAAATTCACCGTTCCTTCTATGAATTGATGAGGAGAATCTCAGAATGATTGACATCGAGTGACGGTTTTTACCTGAGATATTGGAGATAGAGTTCCCGCATTATTGAACCAAATAAGATTTTTGAGGGATTCTCCCCAGCAGTTTATCCTCCACGAGTGAATTTTACGAAATGTTGAGAATATGTCGGTTATGAATGGCAATTGCCTTCACACGGATATATCAAGGGGATGCAATATGTAATTTCAATTTATGATTTCATCTGCGAGTACAAGTATCAAGTGTAGGGAGTCGTGCCAAAAACATTTGTTGCCGGAGGTGTTGACAGTATTTATACAGCAGTTTATGTTCAAGATGGGGAAATCCCTTTTTTCCATTTCCAAAATCAATAATTTTTTTTGTTTACTATTTATCGTCGGAATATTCGAAATATAAAAAAGATAAAGCAATACTTCCACCACTTTGCTACGGAATTATTTTAAAAATTTATAATAATAATATATACCTATAAATAATTCAGCGGTATAAATTCTAAAGTTCATAAATCAAAGTTTCTTATTTACAACTCCATTTGACCATTTGTGTGGGGGTAAAAAAATACCTCACCCGCTGCGGTAAAATCGTCCGGAAAATCCCATTAATTTCCATCCAATCGTAACGAATATTATGAGAATTCATGGCTATTTTTGCGGGTAACTCATCGGGTAACCCCATATGCATAGAAAAACTAAAAACATAAGCCTGAGGGGCGAAAGAAAATTTAGAAAATTTTCACTGTAGAATGTACTTCACTAATTTATCCCGAATATCTAATTTTAATGAGTTCATATTAGTTTATTCAAAATTAGTACTTTCTGTTGAACTTCAATATTAAATGCACATGGGGGTAACTACGACTTCCTAGAAATACATTCTAGATATCGTAGCCGCATTCTGGCATCACCAAGTCGTTTTCGTTTAGCATGTTTATTGAAAATTGAGAGGGAGAAACGAATATCGCTTGAAAACTCCCGGGAAAATGCAGATATATAAATCCAATCGAATTCTGCAAATCGGAACTTTCGTATTGTTAAGAAATATTGAATGTCATGGGTTTGATTATATTTTTCCGTCCCCCAAGAAACTGCGATAGTACATTTGAATAATTGCGCTAATTTCTCACAACGAATTGCTATTAATTTTTAATGCTCTCTGGGGGAATCTTATTTAGGTGATTTTCTCGGGCAGTAAACCTTATCCTGTTTTTTTTTTTTTGAGTTCTCCGGTGTTCTGGTGGGTAAATGGAACAGGCAATGGTACAACCAAGAAGTCATGCTCTTGTGTTGTTTTATTTTTAATGCACTTCCTCAGGATTTCGTTATCCTTCATCATTAATGAGCGACGGAAATGGGAAAAATCTACTTTTAAGAAAATGAACTGTTAACGTTTAGAAATCCAACTAAAAGATCATTCCCAGATTAATTTATTCAATTGTTAATTCAAATTAGGTCAACCGAGGTCAATTGAAATAATCTTTGTTATAAAATTTTTTGTGAGGATTCACGCAAGTGGATTATTATTCCGGAGTATTTCTTACGTCGATGTGAAATTAGAAAATATATCACGAATTTCATGGAGCAAGATTAAATGTCACTTGTGCAGGACAATTTGGTTTAATCATATAAACCAATTAACTGGTAAAGCTGCGGGATGGAATGGAGATGATTCCATTGGCGTGGATTGTTGCAAAATTGGAAGCGTTGACAAGCACTGGTCTATGATAGAGCTAGAACAGAGACAGTGGACAGTTGAGCTAGTGGATAATCGCGAGCGATGAATTGAAGAACATTTGACATCGGTATTTGATCATGGACTGTGGAATTCTGTATATATGTACAGATGGTAGATATGTATTCGTGAGATTATTTGGTCGATGGGATGCTTGGGAATGAATTCAGGGGTATACTTGGTGATAGGGGGAAATGTCTCGGAGATATTTCTCTGACAGTGCGACAATGTCATTTCAATTGTCATTTTCTCTCGCATTAATTTGTGATTCAGTATTTTTGGGTGAAATATTTTTAAAGGCACAGGCTCAAATGGAATTTAAATTCACCTGCTGTCAGTTGAAACATCCGCTTAGAGATTTATTAATTCATACTTGTTTTAAATTGAGGAGAGAAATTTTTAACGATTGTGTGAAAGATGGATTTTGCTGGAGTGCTTTTCCCTCGTGAAATTAAAATGTCAAAGCCCAGAGTTTTCACTTCTCTGTCGATTCTCTCGTTCGTGATTTGTTTGCCTTCAATATTCTGTTCTTCATTTTCAAATCAAATCCTTCGAAATTCAATTCTGTTTTCTCCTTATTGCAACGTCTTCCCTTTTCTACGTCCCTCATTTCGTTTTCTTCCTCGTTCTATAACATTTTCCACAGTCATAAATATTTCCTATAAAAACTACATCGTTTTATGAAATTTCTAGGGACATAAATTTCAAAATTCTGTACATGGTCTGTCTCATAGCGATAGATAGGAAGTGGTGAAAAAAATTATTTTGTCAGGGTCGGTGAAAAATTGAGCATTTTTTTTTACCGGTTATTTACGTCAGGGGAATTCCTCACATCTCTCGTAAATTCCAACATCATGGAAAAAATATTTCACACTCGAGTTAAATTTTTTGTCGCCATCCGCCCCTGGGGTGATACGGCGTCTCCAGATGGCGGCGCCTCCACCTCGCATTTTCCAGCAGTCATTAAAATTATTCGTCTCACTCGAATCACTCGCAGATTGTTCCACCATGTTCTCACAGAGTGAACCATTTTTTTAAGATATCTTTCATAAATTTCCTCCTCTTCTCGCCTGAGAATTCGCAGATGAAATTTTCCCGCTCATTTCGCTAGTTCTTTTCTTGATAGTTTTTTTTTCGATCGGGGTAAGGAGAAACAAATTTTCTTAGACCGCTAGAACAATTTGGAATAGTGGACTGAGGGTATGGATTTCAGTGAAGTAGAAGTTCCACAACCGTAACAAAATAAACGAGTTGGACGATCCACTCCCAAGTGTGCACTGTACTGAAGAGGATAACGCACAATGGACCTTTTTCTGAGCAGTGAAACGTGAAATATGAAATCGATACTGGAAGCCACACTCCACAGTCCTCAGCAGATGGACGTTCGGGATTTTCAACCCTTATTCGAGAATGTTACCACCCGCTGCGCGTCATCGCCATACTTTAAAGTCGGTGATGAGAAAAAAAAAAGATTGAGTGTTTTTCACCAAGAGCTACGAGAAATGCCATTTCACTCGAGTGTCATTTAACAGACACGAAAAAAATTCATACTTGCAATTAATCAAGTACCAAAAATACTTGATTAAAGTATACTTTTTTTTCCTCCCCACCCCATTCGAAAATTTACTTTCGTGGAATAATTGGATAGGATGAATTTCGGTTTCATTTTCAATCGACAATTTTTTTTTCCGAATTTTCATCAAGTATTTCAAACACAAATTTCCAGCGTACTTCGATTTTCGATGACCATTCATCGAAGTATACGTATCGTATTGCGCTTCAGTGAAGGATTGAGGGGTCAAAAGCTGTTGAAAAGTTGCGAAAAGTGGATGACATTCTTCAGAATCCACATGACAGTAATAATTTAAACTCCCCAGAAAAAAAATACCATTCAATTATTTCCACTTCACGTTGAATTTTTCAAATAACACGAAATGAAATGTTGAGTAAATTTAATTAGCGTTATTAATTGAACTGGAAGTTCAATTGCAATGTCAATCCAAATCGCGAGTTCATCAATTTTCCCCATTGTGTCTCCTCTAAATCAAAATCTCGGGTTTCGTAATTTTCGTGGTATCTAGAGCGAATGGCGATTCTGCAATAAATACATAATTGAATATGCCATACGTTTGCTCACATCTGCTCTCCGGGTATCATTAACCGTCGACATTTGAGTCTAGGGACTACCTTCAATGTACGTCATTCCCCACGATTCACATTTGTACGTTCGCACTATTCAATTAATTACCCCAACTGTAATGATTAATAGCATCATTAGTAGAAAGGATCGATTCAACTTTATAGGAAGATAATTAATTTTCTATTCGGCATTCTCACTCTTCGTCGGTTGCTCCAACATAAAATTCCCTGATTTTCCACAACTATCGGTTACTTTAATCGTGATTCATGAATTCGTAAACTTTGCGAATTAACATTTCCAATCGTGTCCGATAATTCCACTGTTGGGTGAACGAGAATAATTGTATAAAGTGTATTTGTCCAGGAGTAAAAGGAAAAAAAAAAATGAGTACTTCAACTCTGGAGATTGAGAATACCCATTTTTCTTGAGACGTGAATATAATGCAGGCAATCAGAGGAAGAGGAAAATTCTCCCTAAACAATGGCTTGAATTGTTTACAACTTCTGTCTTTTTGAAAAATGGAAGAATAGTGGAACAATAAACTGCCGAGTGGAATAAGTAAAGTTTCACCGACGCACCCGTTGGCATTACTCGTCAACTTTGACTTGTTTCGGTGGTCGTCAGGCTAGTTTACGAGGCTAAATTCCAAGGGCTTTTTCACTTCACATATATCGTTAAACTTTACCCCTTCTGTCCCCTCTTGCACCAATATTTCACCCACTTTACACCCCCAGAGTGCATCATCTGCTTGAATTTTCCGAGAGTGCCCTAAGTACCTGTGTTAATCCCCCTATTTTTTTCATTTACAATCAACAATCACAGAAATGATAAATAAATAAATTCTCATACTCGAGATGTAATTAAATTGGTAATTGCTCTCGAATTTTTATTACACCTGTCCCTCAAGGTATCAATAATTTTTCAATGTTTTGAGGGGCTAAATAATTTTATTTGCGGTCAGTGTATTAGAATAATTGTTGCAATTGATGGAACATCTCTCTTATTAATGATTTTACAGTATTCGCTGTTGCAGACGGTTGTGGAAATATGCCAGAAGAACCGAAACTGCAAGTTTAATACAAGCCCAAAGAGTTTCCAGAATGATCCTTGTCCAGGGTTAGCCAAGTACATCGAAGTCGCCTACAAGTGTCGTCCCTGTAAGTACCTCCAAGAACATTAACGGATAAATTAATCCCTCGGTCATTAAAATAAATGAATATTGATATAGCATTCAACTTTCCGGGCGAATATTCCATTGAAAGTGCAAACTTTTGGCGACTCCACTTTCGTTTTACAAATTAAGAAAAATAAATGGAAATGCGACAAGTAAAATATTAATTATCACGAAAGATTTTTTTTTTTCATTTTGAAATTAAAAATTCATTGGGAATGAGGAATTTAATTACACGGTGAGAATTACTTCTTCAAGTTAATGCATATAAAATACTTTCATTCAAGAGGTGAAAATTCGTCACAGATGTATTTTTTATTTTTTATTTTTTTGTTTATTCTTGTTTCCATTTCCATTTATTTTGCTATGTCGCAGGATCTCTCTCCAGTTTCATTCGGAGCTCCCACTTTTATTGCAGCTCACGTGTCCTTTACTGTCACACCTTGTCACGTACCATCACCATTAAATTGCGCAGAAGTGATCAACAGACGAGTCAAATAAACTCGTACACATGTTTTTCATGACCCAACACCCAAAACCCTTTTTTTTTCAACAACACACATGTAATCGTCACGGAAAAATCAAAGTTTTTTCAATAGTCCAACAAATTTCCGTACACGAAAAGAAATATTCAGTAAAAATTATTTTTACCAACACCGGAAGTAATAAAAAAAAATTTACGTGACGGTGTATCGCCATTTTTATTGAGCAATTCATGAAAAAAAAAGAAAAAAAAAATTGCGGACCGCTCTTAAAGAATGTAATTGTTCTGTCAAATTTTTTCGTTAGGAAAATATTCAATTTTTATTGGACATTTCTCCCCGTGTACCCAAATGAGAATAAAAGTTTCGGATAATTTGACAAGTGGAACAAATTCTTCGTGATTTCGAACGATAAAAAATTCTACTCCATATTCAATATTCTCCGGACAAAATGGTGCCCTCGGGCGATGGGCTTTGACTATCCCCACGAAAAACCGATTTAATTTCAAATTTCATTTGAAATCAACGAAATGAATCGAAGTCAATGACACTAAAGCCCCCGAATCCCACGAATAATCCCGGATTTTCAACCTGACATGCCACCGATAATCATAAAATCCCCCATTTGTTGTTATTTTTTATTGTTAATACCCATACAGAAAATTGGATATATAGACAACTCCATATCGAAGACTGGATTTCCTTCCGAGATTTAATTAAATAACGAAAAAAAAATGTGTGGATTATTTAAAAAATTGCCCACAGGGTCCTCTCGAATTATTTATTTAACAATCGATACGGCAATTGTAGTGAATCTTTGGCCTTTCAGTTCTTATAAAAGTTGGAGTGCTGTCGCTCTTGTTACTCGACTATTTTATTTCTTCTTTAATATCAGTTATTATCGAATGCATCATCGGCGAATATTAATTCCATCTGAATAGAAATCCAGGTCATGATTATAATGAAGTAAAATTTCTATTTGCAACGTGGGAAATTGAACCCATATCTCGATAAATTGTTATTGCTAATTATTCCATCGTACGGGAATATTCCTCATTTTTTTCATCTATAATTGAGAACTAATGAACAGATTCTACTGACCCACATAAATAAATATTTGATTGAACATGAATTTTTGAGTTGATTGAGGGTCTACAATTGCATTCTCCAGTGAAAAAATCATTGATAAATAAAAAACAGAGAAATAAATAAAAAAAATCAGTTTCTTTGATAATCAACTCTTCATTATTCCATATTTTATATGGAATACAATTCTTTTTTCATTCAATTGCAAGAGCAATGGCATTGTTATCAAGAATCAATTGATAATTCTCACTTTGCGTTATGCATTTCGTTTTATCGGTGTTTCCCATATTTTATTCTATCTGTGCCCATACCGCATTTTCTCTTTACCCGAATCAATTTAAATAATGTATTTCATCAAAGAGATAATAAATGCTCAATCCACTGAATAAATTATCTGTCCACTTTGTTCGCATCATTTACATTCCACGTTCCATTGATTACAATAATTTACGCCATTGAAAATTGTTGCAATATTTAATCTGCTGTCGATGATCGCCTGTGGGCACATAATTAATTACTGTAACTCTTATTGATTTCATATTATTTCACCATTCTATTGTAAATTTGTCGCCAGTCAGTAATATTTAATACTATTGTGACAGTCCAGTGAGTTGTCGAATTGCATTTTGTTATTTATTTATTATTATTTTTTATCCATTCATTTATTTTTTTTTATAGATGAATTCAGGAGCAAAGTTGCCTGCGAAAGTGATGCTGTCAATCTCTTGTGCTACCCTGGAAAACGTGTAGCTATTCTGAGTGCCTCCTTTGGACGAACTGAATATGAATCGCTGCAGTGCCCTCAACCGCATGGAGTCAAAGAAGAAAGTAAGTCATAACTTTGAATTGATAAAAAAAGTCAATCCACCTCTTTCCAATATAGAATAGAAAATTGATCATTTCCTTTTGAAGAACCCACCACTCAACTCAACATTAAACATTCATCCCCGAATAATAATTCATTCTTTGACCGAAATCAATAAAACAACTTCAATTAATATTATTCTTAACTAATTTACTTGATTGATAAGTGAAGTGAATTCAATTTTTAATTGAAAGTTGCATTGTTTGAATTTTTCTTGTACATTAGAAATTTTTTATTTTTCCAAACGAATGGAACGGAAGGAAAATTCTTTTCTGGCATGAAATGAATTTACTGTCCGCAAACTTTTTCCCTCTGTCACTGCTGTGTCATTATTTCCTGAGTGTCACTTGGACCGTGGGGTAATTGGTTTCTCGGAAATAACAACTAAGTTTCGATATCAATAATATTGGTAATATCTCTCTAGTGTCTGAAAGCATGACTAAGTTCATGTGACTATTATCAAGTGCTCAGAGTAGTGGACAACGACAGATAGGAATGTAAAAAAATTTGATTCCATGCCAACTAGTTATTCCATTGTAGTCACTATTCATCAGCGGTGACGTTATTCAAGATTTATGAACGCATTAAGCAGTCAAAATGAGCAATCAAAGACGAGAGTAATTTTTATCGTCTGAGAGCACTAGTGATATCACATTTACTGGAATTTACTGGGGATTTAAAAGAACGAAAGAACTCGTTGGGATGACAATAACATTTTTCCAGCCAAGAGGGTAAAATAATCGATTGAAAACACTCAATGGTTTCCAAAAAAGAGTAACAATGCCTCGTAAATTAACCCCACGTAACTTATACCTCGGAAATATTTTCAAAGCCATCGACCAATTGAAATTATTCTTGGAATTGATAAAGAAATTATTTCCTTCACCAATGAAGGTATAAAAAATTAATCAATGCCACATTTATCAACCGCAAGTGAAGTTGGAGGATTTAAATCTCACCCGTCACATCCATTCTCATACAAACCAGATAAAAATGGTGGAGAAAGCAAGAATTCACTCCTCGAGCCATTCCTGACAATTAATGGTTGTGATCCCTATATTAACTCCCCCACCATTTTCAATCCGTAAAAGAAATATCAAGTCAGCTCTACATCTCCTTCACTCCAATAACTCGGTGTCTCGATGAAAAGAGGAAAATTCTCGTCAAACATCTAGGTCGTAGTGTTGTAGTAGTCTATTAAAAAAAAAAATGGTGAAGGGGAGCTGGATAGGAGTGTCAGTTCATCGCCGTTAGCAACGTTATATTAATATAAGAGTGTGTCTGACTTTCGCATTAAAGAGACGGGAATCCTCAGACTAGGGGTCTATGAAAGGATATCTCGAGGTAATTTTTTACCCCCCGACAAACGCACAACTCCACTCGAATGTGACAATGAGAATTGAAATCCTGGGATGTGAAAATAATGGATGAGATATTTTTATGGTGAAATCATGAATATAATCGTTTTAAAAATGACTCCAGTGATGGTTGAAGACATATTTATTTATCAGTACCTTATCAATAAATTGGAATAGAAAGTATTCAAAGAGAGGGATTGCCTATATTTTTAAATTATATCGATTGTTTATTTAATTGTTTTTTAAAATAATTCAATAATTCATTAATCACGTTTCAGCTTGTACTGCTCCATATGCAACTGAAACAGTAATGCAACTGTGCCACGGTAAGCGGAGATGTTCCGTAACTGCCAATAGTTCCACTTTCGGAGACACCTGCAAACCCGACACGAGAACTTACTTGAAGATTATATACACATGCGGTAAGTAGAAAGTTTCATTAGTTTTAGGTAAAGACTCGGTCTGATTATGACCATAAAATAATCCACTCCCCGAACTCGATTGAATGTTCAAACGCATGATAAACTCCACGATTCGATAATTATCTATTATTATTGTTTACTAGATATTAATTTGAATTATTGAGTTCTATATTTTTTTTTGGTTTGTGTGAATGCATGAATTTGGGGTGATGATGACATTTGGAATAGAAATAGGAGATATTTGACCGGTTAAGTTTAGTGACCTGGCGAATTGTTCACGGAAATATCCTCATCCCTTGAATGATGACATTGCATTCAGAATGATCTACTCCCCGGGCATTCGCTCGTCAATTCGTACGTGAAAGCGGAATTGTGGGTGGGGTTGGAGGGGTAAAGGGGAATTCGTGCGTGAGTTGATGTTCAAATATCTCTGTGATTCAGCCCCAAGGACTTACAATCTCAACCTTTGAAATATTAGTCGGTATTTTATCGGTTGCTTAGGCCTAGAGCTTCTCTTATCTCAAGTCATTCCTCAGCCGTTTAATCTGCGAATTAGCTCCACCTTTTTTGGATTTTATAGATAAAAGTTTTAACGAGAGACTTTGAGAATAAAACGATTGACAAATCATCTCACTTTTTCGTGGAGTAAACACCGAATTTTATGTGTGTATGTATATTTATTTGTGTGGGGATGTAAGACGATAAATTGGGGAATTTTCTTATTCACATGCCTCAGTTGACGATGAAAAAACGAGAAATTCTTCTTGTTGAGTGAATTTTGAGGAAAAATTCAAATACGTTACTGCGACGGAGACATTTCTTGATAGGTAGAACTCCGAGGTATTTATCGATTGGTTTTATACATGAGAATAGTACATTCCCTTCCGTATCACCCTCTACATCCCCCGCCTCAAAAACTCGAAAGTTTACCAAAGAATTTTTAGAGGGGTTGAGATAAACTCGCTATTTCGCACACCAAAAATTCATACCAAAAATTCATACCAAAAATACCAAAGTTCATATAAAAAATTCATACCAAAAATTTATTCGATATTTATTCATATTTTTTTCTGATAATTCAATTGAGACATGCATTATGGCACTCAATCACGATCGAACTTCATTAATCAATCACTCAACTCCTCATTTACGACTCAATTTACAACGAATTTCATTAGGGATGCGGTGAAGACTATCTGCCATTCTAGATTGCCTTTCAAAGTGCAGAATATTCTTGAACTCATCATGATGCAAACTGTCACTAAATTGCGGTAATTGCCGTGAATCCTTGCCTATTCCTCACTTTATTGATTGACCAGATGTCTGCACAAACATCGTACATTCGAAAATGGAACACCTACTTTATGCCATTATCCGCATTCGCTATCATATCTAATCGTGAATTCTAGTATCACGTGGGAATAACTGAGGGATTGGCGATATCACCGGTTAAATTGATTGTTTGAATACTGCGAATAATCCGCGAGGGGATTCGCTCTTGAAAATCACCATTATTCACTCCTCCCGAAAATCATCAACTTGTTGATAATTTGATAAAATAATCAGTGACACTCGATTGGCTGAGTTGCAATGGCCGTATTCCACTTCTAATGTTTAAATGCATTTTCCATTAATATCATTAACTGCTCCATTGAATCGTCCTCGGGTTTTTCTTTCTTGTCGGGTTGACGCTAACGGACTCTAACAAGTCGAAATTTATCTTGACTCTTCGCGCTGTACTCTATCTCCTGATACTTGTCATTTTTATCGTACCATCTAAGTGAAGCATCGGACTTGGAACGAGCTACCCGCAATCCCCGAGTAATTCTCTTGGAATACCGTGGGTTCAGCGAGATTCTCCTCTCCCAGGAAGTGAAAAAGACGAATGCCGGGGAGGGAGATGGATGAAAAAAAAAAGATATAAAAAAAAGAAACGAGCTGAGACTCTATGTACTGATTGTAAATCGCTTCGGGTTAGATAACTCTCTTCAATAAGTGGTAGACCGTAAGTCCCGATCGATTTTAAATATTTCTACCTCCGGTTTTTTCGGTATTTTCGTTGAGGGGTAGTAAATGTCCCTCGTGTTGTGGTTATATTACACTTATGGTACAGCGATATCTTTTCGCGAATGCTGGAGGGGGAGGGGCTTAATTTGCCTCTCATTTCCTACGTACATGCGGCAACGGGTAATTAATTATATCACCACTTTACGACAGCGTCCGAGTGATGTGCGAAAATCTGTGGAACAACTTTTTTTTTTTCAATTAACAAAATCATATTTTCTTGGGGTGTAATTATTGCGGAGTAATTAATGCGGAATTCAATTGTCGCGGGAGGTTTTTAATGGCGGGGGAGGGAGAATTTTAAATCGACTCGTGATATTTATGTTCGGGTTATTTTGATGTACGTTATGTCTCCGGGACGCGATTTATCAGAAAATTCAACACCAGGATTTTGGGATTTATTCATTTATTGTCGAACAAATAGTGGAGAATGACTCGACTGTTGCCAAATTCAGTCTTCGACCGGTACTTTTGTAGTATTGCTCTGTTTTATGGGTTTTCTGTATTTGTACAGAATTTTTATGAATAACGCGAGAAGAAACTCGAGAGTTCTTGACCGGAATTCAAACGCAGGTTCGAGCCAAGTGCTTTGTCCGATTAAGCTGTCCGGTAGTGGCAGTCACCATTTGTGTTGTCATTGACATTTCTACTCGGGTTTTCACTTGATTCATGATTGATTGATTCGATGTCTAGTCCATTCAATCCCAATATAATCATCTGCAATTAGTTAATTTCTATTTTTCGAGCAATTCATATGAAATTTCTCTCATTTCTCTCATTTCAAATAAATCGTTAATTGAATTCGTTGAATCCTGCTATTGTTTATTGCGAGAAATAATTTTATTTGTCACATTTAATTCGAGGGAATCATTTTTTTTTGGGGTGTGTGAGATGGAAAATGCAGGAATAGAGGAGTAAGCGAATGGAGAGTCAATTGCCAAACAAATTGCTAATTTATCAGCAATAACTCATTTATAATAGCGCAATTATCCACTTGTTATTTTTAACATAATTTTCTCCACACATGCACTCGACATTAGCCAGTGCTCTGCATCATTCTCTATTATTTCAGTTCCTATTCGCTTTGATTCTGTTCAATCTGTCAACCCCACAAGGCCATCCATTGAAATATCACGATTTTTATTGTCTAAACAGTTTTTGATGCACGGCATAAATTCTGGTAATTGAAGATACAATTTAAACGCTAAATATTATTCTAGTATTCCGTTATTCACTGATTACATTCACCTCGAGCGCCAGCTGATGATTTCCGGGATTGAGTTGTGAAAATTAAGGCGGAAATTTCCAACCGGAAATCTGGGTCACATTGAAAATTCTGATTTTGTGAAAAAGAATGAAGTTTTTTTTTTTCATTGGGGGGTGAAAAAAATACTCGATCAGATCCATCTTTATTTATTTAGTCGAGAGTCCTCAGGTATCGCTGGAGTATCGTCAGAGTATTTTTTATTCTCTACAGAGAAAAATTCATACGCATTCACTTTGAGTTATTCATTAATGAATGAAATATTGAAATATCATAATTGAAGGGATCGTTAAATTTTCCGGTTCTAGATATTTTTCCAATTACGGTGTACAACCGAGTGCCTGCGAAATGCACTAGTTTCCAGAGTAAATTGTAATTAATTATTTCAGTTAAGACACGAGAGAGAGAATTCTTTAATTATTATTCACACATTATTCCATTACTTGATGTGACGTGTTGTGGGGAGGGGGAAATAACAGTTTTTTGTCATTTTAAAATTGAAAAATTCCGATGAATAATTGGGAAGGAGGTCGGGAATAAATATAGCTCATTACAGAATTAACTTCGTTAAGAGAAATCTCAGAGGTACCACCGAGGGTTTGGGGTTGATGTTTTAAGCCAGTGCGATCAATGATTTGGCTCTCAGAAAAATTTATGGAGTGAAGCATTTACGGTGTACCGCACTTCTCTTTACCCTCCCGAGAGGGGGAAAAAAAAAAAGTACCTAGAGTAGACCAAGTGGAAGAAGCTACTGTTGCTTTTATCAACGTTGCGAAGGGGTGAAGGTTTAAAGTAGAGGAGACGCCCCCGCAGTGGCCTCCATCTATCCAGGGAAAATAAATACAGCGGAGAAAAATACTCATTCAATCGGCTACCCGGTAAAATAACCCAGTGAAAATTTCCACCCAACTTTGTATTCATACGCCAACTCACGATAAATCCTCTCACGTTGATGTGGGAAATTGAATTTTCCAAATCGTCTTTTCCTTCTGCAAAGTCCGGGGGTCCAAACGCGCCCCCTGAAGGATAGGAAGGGGGGAGGGGGGGGAGGGGGAAGGGGGATCCAAGGGTTCAAGTTGTCAATTTTTTTTTTGTCAATCCATTTATTTTTTCACTCCACATACGGTAATGAGACTCACTCTAATTATTTTATAAATATTTATCATCAGATTGTATTATATATTTATATTATATTATTTATAAAAATAATTGGATTGAATGAGTAATTGATTTTTTTGTATATTTGAATTTTTATGGGGTAGATCGGTAACGAAAAATGTTTTATTGATTTTAATTTTCTCTGATCGGATGTTGAACCTCATTATCTCCCGGATGATCACTAGTATCCATAGGCAGGTGTCGTTAATTCCGATTGAATGATCAATGAGAAAAAGCCTTTACTTAAGCCTGATCAAAGTACTAACCAACTTACCCTCAAATCCCTCTGTAAAATATGCATGCACATCGGTAGATATTGTAACACAACATTCACCCTTTTCTCGGCGGAGCAATTCGATGGCTTTGATTCAGTGGCTCGTTAATGATCCACATCGTTTACAGATGAAAGATACTTTAGTTCTACATCATGTGGGATTTACAAGGTTGCAAACAAAAATTTATTTTCCTACAAAATCAATTTTTTTTATGAAAATTTGAGGATCGGACATTTTTG